TTTGTGAGCCGCTGGGTACTTATAAAACTGCTCTTATGACCCAACTATAAATCCCCTATGTCCCAAATACCCAAATAGGTTTGTAGTTGCGTCGCAGGTACCAGATATGATTGGGTTGGATTTGTAGTTGCGTCGCAGGTACCAGATATAATTGGGTTGGATTTGCCTTGCCACCTTCAAAAAAGCGTGTACTTTCCGGGAAAACGGCTGACTTCGAAAAGCAACAAGGCCCTATGCTTTTCCTTCTTGCTAAGCCGCTATGCCTAAACCCTAATCCCTAAACCCTAAACCTTAAACCCTAAACCCTAAACCCTAAACCCGTAGGGTTTAGGCTTTAGGCTGACGCCCGCAAACTCGACGATGAACGTCTTGGAACCCAATAACCCTACGGTTTAGGGTTTAGGGTTTAGGGTTTAGGGATCACAAATAATACCTACATTGGGCCCTAAAGTCTGTAAATCTTACCTACATTGGGCTATTTTGATCCCTAGGGTAAGCATTTCTCAACGTCCAGTCGTATACCTATACTGTTGAGATGACAACAGCAGAAGTTTCCCCTAGGCCTTAAGCATCGCAGTTGACAGCATGGATCTCAAATGGAGATAATCCAGCTGTAGTCCTGAATGTTTGGGCCTTGTTACCTACGCTGCAAAAGAGTTTGGGGGGTACACGAGGAACGAAGTCAGACCGTCGAACGTGATAGAGTCATTCTTACCGAGTAGGGTATATTGAGCTGCCGTTCTGAGGATCATAAAAGGCATACCATTAGTACGCATTCACGCGGCATAAGAACCCCAAAAAAATATCATCCCGTGTTGCGCTCTCCCGTTGGACCCACCACTCTTACGTATTCAGGCTTCTACCCTAAACCCTATATGGTAGTTTCCCAAAATAAGGGGACCCCAATATAGACCCCAATATACTATAGTCCTTATTATAAGGATCCCCAGAAAGGTACCCCTAATTTTGGGAAACCCCCATATGTAAAGCCTTACATAATACCCTTTGAGGAGTTTAGCTTATGGTTCATTTCATGTTGCTACTCCTCGAGCCCGAGCCTCGAGGTAGCCTTGAAAATTGGTTTAAAAGGTTCAAGGCTTAAGGCTTAGGGTTTAGGGTTATAGGGTTTTAGGGCTTAAGAGCTTAGGGTTTATGGTTTTAGGGTTTAGGGTTTAAGAGTTTAGGGTTAGGGTTGAGGGGCAAGAAATGAAGGAATGGAACAGAACGCGGAAACTACTACAGTCTTGGGTATCATGTAGGAGTTACTGGAAGGACCGAGTGGCCAACCAGAAAACCCACAAACCCTAAACTGTGTAGACAACATCTCCGACACGGATGAAGCAGAGAATCCAATCTGTCGCTGATTGCAGCGCTTGTGACAATACCATCAATGACTGCTTCAAATTCAACGCACGTGGTCGCTGAACCGGCTCTGGATGGAACCCCAAAATTACCCCGATATAACCCTAAACCCTAAACCCAATATAACCCGAGTATAACTTTTACCTTTCCCCAATATGGCCCCCAAAAGCCTGAGCTTTGGGCTGCTCGCTAGGGTCGAAGCGCGCAAAACCGAATGTGATGATCACAAAGCACTTTCCAAACCTACTTGGAGGGTCAGGGGGACTTCGTAAGGAGGCTAATAACCCCTATAACCCATTTAGTAACCCTAATTATCTCTATTATTAACCTAGTTACTAAGTGCCCCTGACCCTCCAAGTAGAGCTCCCAGCGGCCTTTTGCAGGAAGGAAAACCACGAGAGCGCGTGAACGTTTGCAGTCTAGCTGCAGGAATATTATGGAAGTTGCCCAAATATAGAGGGTTCCATGTAGGTACATTGTATATACTTGGGCCCTACAGTAGGTATACGGGAACCCCCTTAGGCCCTAAGTATATGCTATATACCTACTCTTTACCCTAAACCCTACACCCTAAACCTTTACACCCTAAACCCTAAACCCTGAACCCTAAACCCTAAACCCTATACTATATACTTACATGGACCCGTAGAGGTTCTTGCCATGGAACGTCTTGTGCAAGACATAGCCGAAGATCTGCCCAGCCGTTACATATCGCTGGTGTGACACAGGGGTCACAGACACCTGGGTTGTTTTGGAGCTTTAGGGTTTAGGGTTTAGGGTTTAGGGTTGAGGGTTTAGGGTTTAGGTTTAGGACACCGGGTTTTTGCAGCTTTAGGGTTTAGGGTTTAGCTTTTAGGTGTAGGACACCTGTTTTTTTTTGTTTCTTTTGGTGATTTTTTGGGGTAATATGGGGGATAATGCAAAAGAACATGGAAACTACTACATTAATAGGGGCTTGCAGCTTAAGGGCTGTATGCGGTTCAGGTGTTTAAGCCCTTGCATGAAGCTTCTGGAGCATAGGATATAGCATTGGAGGCTGAGGTAGGATGCAGGGCTCTGCATGCAAGATTTGGAGTTCAGCGTTGTGGTGTTGTGGTGTAGAGAATTGTGTAAACAACCCCATGGGACCTTGCCACCCACCCAGAATGCAACCATGAGTGAAGGAGGCCACATTCAGCCCATGCGTATTTACATACATAGATATACATCTATATATATATATGTGTTTTATCAAAAGGGGGAATGTAGAAGGCCACCTTTCGTGGGTCATGCGCAGATGTCCTTTCTGGTAACAACCTCACACTCAGACCTTCTGCGGCGGCACCCAACAACAGGGGGTGGGTCGAAGCACCCAGGGCCCAGGTTTTGCAGTCTAGGCGTTAAGGCTTAAGGTTTAATTCTGGCCAGGTAAGTCAGAGGAACGGTCCAGGCTATCCAACAAGATCAACAGTCTCAAGCCTTCGCAATAAGCTCCTCTGACCGTGCATGCTATCCTGGCCTTGGATGCTACATCGCACGTCTACCTAGCATTGCAGTAATAAAGATACTCTGGTCCGCAACACAGGCGGCGCATTTCAACTCTAGGGTTCTGCCGCGATTTCTGGTACAGGAAGCAATCTTATCTGCAGCTACGATGCTATCACTACATGAGCTATTATCTAAACTCCTAGTTTCCCGCTTAATAACCCTTATAGTAGTCCCCCATATTTCCCCTGTATAACCCCTCTGTAAGGAGTTTGATGACCATCTGTTCTATGTGCTGAACCTGAGGCATCGGCGACAAGCGCCGCGCCTATGATCATCGTCAGCATGACGACTACCTGCCATGCCACTTGCAAACCCTAAGTGTGAGAGCTTCAGACTAAACAACGGCCTAAAAGACGAAGGATCTTCTTGGGCATGTTTCACGGGACAAAACAAGCAACCTTAAACCCCTAAATCCCAAGCCCTACATAAACCCTAAGCCGTAAACCCTAAACCCCGAAAGCCCCACATCTCCGTGTATGTTGTATGAGGCCCTCCTCCAAAAGCGCTCTCCGGGAGTTAGCCGCAAAAAAAACTCTAACGGGCCTTTCTGCGACCATGTAGGAGGTTTCGAGGGATGTATAGGGATGTCTAGGGTTGAGAATAGTAGGGGATATAATCCCCCAAACAAACATGTAAGCTGATATGGCCCCCTTTTCAAGGACAGTTCTCTAAACCCAAAACCCTACACCCTAAACCGCAGTTGTCTTTATAGTGCCCGTTTTGGGCTTCCATGTTACTGGGGGGAGTGCAGGGTTGTGGTTCAGGCCTTGGACCAACTGCAGGAGGGGAGTTTCCAATTGGGTTGATTTTAATTAGGGCTCTGGGTTTAAGGGAAGAGCTTATGCAAGGGGTATATAGGGGCCATGGGGAGTTGTAAGGGGTATAGGAGACTGAAAGGTCCCTACATGGCAACTCCCCTCCTGTACTTGCCCGAGACCTAAACCCCAAACCTTTCCAAGATACATATTTCCCGAGCTCGAAACTTCGAACTGATTCAACCCTACAAAAAGAATCAGATTACCCTAACCGAACATAAGGGTTATATACATATCATATATGTGGGTTTATACAGGGATACAGCTTATGATAGCGGGAGTTTGAAATCTGAATCCCACACTCAGGGTCCTACGTCGCTCATATGACCAGACTCTTGTACAGCCCAGAAATGTCATCCGGTTTGGGGTTCAGCACGACTGATTATAAGGCATGCGCTGGTTTTCTTGCCGTTTCCTCCCTACATAGTGACCCTGGGATCTTCGGTTTGCCCTAAACCCCAATTAAGCTCTAAACCTTAAACCGTAGCGTTGAGGGCTCTCAACCAACAGTGATCCCTTGCACCTTTTAGACCCCAATGCCTAATGAACCCCGCAACCCTAAACCCTAAAAACCCAAACCCGAAAACTTAAACCCAAAACCTCGAACCCTGAAGTTCCAACCCCAAGCCTGAACCTCCACCAGAACACCCTTACCTGGACCTCATAAAAGTAGTTGAAGTTATTGCCCCAAACCCCTAAAACGGACAAAAAAGCTGCCATTCTATGTACTTCGGGGGTCCAGGTAGTAACTGGGCAACGGCAACGTAGTATGTGCCTCTGCGGCCCTAACTCGTTCACCCAGCAAGAAGTGGGCCTTCGGTGTAGGGCGTGGGGGTGTAGAGTTGAGGGTTTAAGGTTTAGAGCCTGGAGTTGTGGCCTTAGAGTTTAGGGTTTAGGCTTCAGTTTTTTTTTTTCTTCGGGTTTAGGG